AGGTGAGTAAATACTTTTTTAATTGCTTAGGTATGGATTCACTCTTCTGACTTTATCTTTGGATGAGAGATTAAGGATGTGACAATGAATGTGTAAAGACACGAGGGGTTCCCCAGGAAGGAGAATTCAAACTGTCTCATGCCATAAGTGGCCTGAGTAGCTTTAGCATTTGTGGAAAAGAGACCTTCTTTCATTTCAGTTAATTTCTACCTCACTCAGAATGGACTTCTCCAAGCTGCGAATCCTTCATGTAATAAAAGACATGCCTTTATTGTATAAGCAAGAGAACCACCACAGAATTGCAAAATATAATGTATCAGGACAGTATCTCCTATGACATTCTCATTAGAAACATTCTTTTGTGTCGCTCTAAGATTGCTGCATGCTGGCTCATAGGTTTTTTTGCATATTTTTTATGGTCAAGGTGATGTACAGAGGGTTTACAGTTACATAAGTAAAGTAATAAGTACATTGCTTGTCAAACTTGTGACTCCTTCCCTCATCTTCCTCCTACTTTCCTCTCCCCCACCCCACCACCAAGTTGTACAGATTATTTCCAACCTATTGTCTTGTGTGTATCACTGTTGCTTTGGTTCCCCCCCGGCCCTTGGCCCAACAATCCTGTGGCCCAAGGGTTCCCCTAATGAACCAAAAAATTTGGAACCTAAAAAAATATGCTGTGTGATGTCAGTGATAAATGAGGGATGTGGAAGTGCATTTTAGACAATCCTTTCTATTTAATTATTTGGAATGGCTGGGGTCCTGTGTTTGAGAACATTCTTTAATAAAGAGCAACTGGATTCTACAGAAGTAAACTCCAAGATGAATTTCTGAAGGCTTTTCCTTGTGGCATTTAGCATTTCTAATGCCTTCTTACTATGATGTGATGCCTGAAAACATTTTCTTTTTCCACCTTGTATACTATTTGAACCTCTTTGGTCTTGAATAAGGGATAAAGAGCTATTTTCCTGAACTAGTGTATGAAATAGCTGTGCATCCCATAGGGAATTATGACATATTGGTTCTTCAGTTCTTGAGCCAATATAGTTCCATAAAGCTGAAAGTATATAAAAATTTCAGTGCCACATGTGGAATATTGTCCCAAGTATGGAAATGGAAATTTTTTCTTTAGTTTTATTTATACGACTTATTATGCATGTGACCTTATAAATAATCCTTTGTTGAACTGTGTGTAATGGCTGATGTCTGTAAGCCCAGTTACACAGGAAGAGTATTTCAAGACCAGCCTGGGCAAAAACTTAAGAGTTCCATCTCAGCAAATAAGCTAGACATGGTGGGGGACACCTGTAATTCTACCTGTGTGGCAGGCATAGTTATGAAGATAGTGATCTGAGGCTGACACTGAGCCAAAATGTGAACCCATATCCAAATAATAGCTGAGATAAAAAAATGTCTGGTCCCTCTCTCAGTGAGTGCAAGGCCCTGAATTCAAACCTCAGCACCGCTTCCTTCATCCAAAGTAATAATCCTTTGGTAACTTTTAGCTTCCTTAACTATTCATTATAGCTGTTATGGAATAATAATATTGTAGACGTGAACTTTTTTCTAAGTTCTATAATTATGAATATGTGCAAAAGAGAAGTGTAAGTTATTTTTTCTTATCAAAAACATGTGACATTCCAACAGGAATGATCTGAGATGTTAAATTACAAACATTCATTTTTTTTCTCTTAGGAATACTTAAAGAAGAAAGAGCTTGTATGCTAAAATTTTATGGAAAAGTATGCGATTAAATAGATATGTGGCATATAGATGCTATCACTGAAATAAAAACGAATCACCCTAGCGTTCCCAAGATAGACAAGATATCGTTTTCAATTGAAAAGTAGCATTAAATCTGAGCTTGGATCCAGTAAGGACTGGCAGATAGAAATGGGGACAGGAAGAAAAATGTTTATTCAGGTCAAGTGGGTATAAATAATTAAAAACAAGAGGCATTTTCTGCAACAGAAATGTATTCTTATTTCAAGCCAAATGAAATTCAGTGTAGAGTAAGACACTAATTGCTTAAATTATTTATCACACGACAGGTTCATGGATGGGGAAAGGTATGATTTAAGTGAGGAAGAATGAACTCAAGGCATAGGAGACCTGGGTGGGCTCTTAGGTGACAAATCAAAAGCATCAGACTATTCCTAGGAGAAAGAGATTTACAAGGGTGATAGAGCTGAAAAATCCAGTATTTCCCTTGTCCCTAATGTGATACCTGGACTGTCAACATCATGATTTAATGCTTTTGTTCATGATGGAAACATTTATCAGCAGGTTAAATTTTTTTTTTCATGAGGAATAGTGGAGAAAGACAATTGGCATTCTTATATTTATAAAGAGCTATAGCAGTGGGCGGGGGGAGATGGGAGAGGGCAGGGATGGTAAGGGGAAACAAAGGAGGAGGCAACAATGATTGATGAAAAATATACTCATTACCTTGCTCATGTAATTGCAACCCTTCTGTATGGTATTTTCACAATGAAAAAGTTATTAATTAAACAGAGAATGGAGAACTGGAAAAAAGACCTATATTTGCACTACATTTTATTTTTATTAATTAATTTTTATTGTAAAAGTAATGTACAGAGGAGTTACAGTTATATATGTTAGGTAATGAGTGCATTTCTTTTTGAACAGTATCACTTCTTCCTTCATTTCCCCCCAATTTTTCCTTCTTGACCCTCCCCTCATAAGTTGTTTGGTTCATTTTCAACATGCTGTGTAGTGAGTATCACTGCTGCATTTGTTCACCCCTTGTCCAACCATTTGTGCTCCCCCTTACCCTCCCCACAACAGATAAACTTCCATACAAGAACAAAAGGTACAGAAATTAAAAACAGTGACAAAGAAGGGAACCCCCCCCAAAAAACAAAACAAAAACAAAACCTCAAAATAACAAAAAACCTCGTTTCCATTTCTTGGAGTTCATTTCAATAAACATCATTTTATATGATGATATGCTCATAGCTATTGAGCCTTTGTGATCCTCTCCTAAGAATATCCTCCTTTAGTCTCACTGTGTGAATGTTTATTGAGTCCTGTTTAATTTATCATGTCCAAGTATATTTTTTGGTCTTTTTCCATCCATTGTGTTTACTTGCAGATTTATAGGCACATTCTGAGTCCTATAAACGAAGGAAACCATACAAGCTATGTTTCTTTGGGTGTGACTTTACTTAATATATTTTTTCTAAGTCTTTCCATTTCCTTAAGAATGGATCACACTACATTTATACTATACATGTGACTCAGTGCTTCTTTCATTCGTTCATACTATTATTTTTAAGTCTTTTTCCAACTACCCCGTGTAGAAAATTAATTCTTGAAATCTTAAAAACAAAGCTTAATTCTGATCCCTTTATATGTCATTTGTTTATCTTAATTTGCCCCTCTTCCTTGTTTTACACCAAAAATTTAAAGATTTTTCTAATGTCATTACCTTGAGTAGCTAGTATTATTGGTATGAGCCACTGGTGTCCAGTAAAAATCATACGTTCTTTTTTTTTTTTGGGTCTGGTCGTGGGGCCTGAACTCTGGGCCTGGGTGCTGTCCCTCAGCTCTTCAGCTCAAGGTTAGAGCTCTACCACTTGAGCCATAGCGCCACTTCTGGCTTTTTTTCTTTTTGCTTATGTGGTTCTGAGGAATTGAACCCAGGGCCTCAGGCATGCAAGGCAAGTGCTCTACCACTGAGCCACCTTCCCAGCCCAAATCATGCATTCTTAAACCATACATTCTAACCTTGAAAAAGAATGCTCACTGGAATCTGAGATGTAGTTATCAATGGGGTGAAAGCAATCTGTAGGTTTTTAAAAAAATTACTTTAGATCCCTGAAAATTTTCTGTTTCACATGATGTCAGAATGGCAGTTCTATTTTATTTCTAAGTCAAGATGAATGCTTTGATGCTAAGAACCACTAATGGATTCCTTCTCACGTTTCATCCATTTCTGTAGCGTTAAGCCACATCTAATGAAATTGTTTGTAGTATTTAGATGAAAAAAAATACACATTTATATATATTGTCATGTTTCAGAATATTTATTGCCACAATAAATTATCAAAAATTGATGATTAATAAAAATATATATACATCTTTATTCTTATTTTGCTTGCCTAAGCATGGAAAAATTGGTTGGAATTAACATATATATTAATATATATTATTTAATATATATTAATATCTATATTAATATATATGTTAATATATTAACATATATTAGCAGAGGTTATCTTTCCTCTGTGAATACCAACAATTATTATTTGAAATGTTTTTATTTTTCAAATGTTCTAAAACAAAAAAATATTGTAATCAAAAAGAAAAGAAAGCTGTGAACCCGTGGCTCATGCCTATAATCCTAGCTACTCAGAAGGCTGAGATCTGAGGAGCAAGGTTGAAAGCCAGCCCGGGCAAGAAAGTCCATGAGATTCTTATCTCCAATTAACCACCAGAAAACTGGAAGTGGTGCTGTGGCTTAAGTGGTAGAGCGCTAGCCTTAAGCTGAAGAGCTGAGGGACAGCGCCCAGGCCCAGAGTTCAAGACCCAAGACTGACCAAAAAAAAAAAAAAGGAAGGAAAATTAAAGATGATAAGGAGAAAATGGTAGCCTGAAAGAAGCCTTGTAGAATGAGAACTTGTTGTAGAAACTATTCTGGAATGCACATCCACACATCACCAAGTGGACACAGCCATTAGGGACAGAGAATCTTAGGATTCATGGTACTCTTTCGGGATCTTCTTTTTAACTAAAAATGGTCATGCATTTGGCTTATGCATAAAGTATTTGTATATGTCTTGGACTGCAGGTATGGCTTATGGCTTTTTTAAAAATAAAAATGATTCGCTTATGTTTTGGTATCTGATGTGGATTTTTATGACTTTATTTGCAATCTTTTTTTTTTCTTGTCTTGCAGACGATTGCTACTTCAGCATACAATTATTGTAATCTATGCTTCTCTTTACCCAATTCCCCAGAAGAAATCAGGCCACAACATGGAAGGAAAGAATCAAACAGCTTTATCTGAATTCATCATCTTGGGATTCTCCAACCTAAATGAATTACAGTTTTTATTATTCACTGTCTTCTTTCTGACTTATATATGTACGTTGGGAGGGAATATTTTCATCATTTTGGTGACCATGGCTGATCCACATCTACATACACCCATGTATTATTTCCTAGGGAACTTGGCCTTTCTTGATATCTGCTACACCACCACCAATGTCCCCCAAATGATGGTGCATCTTCTCTCAGAGAAGAAAAGCATTTCATATGGAGGCTGTGTCACTCAACTTTTTGCATTCATTTTCTTTGTAGGATCCGAGTGTCTTTTGCTGGCAGCAATGGCCTATGACCGTTACATTGCAATCTGCAAACCCTTACACTATTCAGTCATCATGAACAAGGCCCTGTACAGCCAGCTAGCCACCTCATGTTGGACAGGTGGTTTGCTCAACTCAGTGGTGCACACAGTGCTGACATTCCGTCTGCCCTTCTGTGGCAACAACAAGATCAACTATTTCTTCTGTGACATCCCACCGTTGCTGGTCTTGTCTTGTGGGGACACTTCTGTCAATGAACTAGCATTGCTGTGCATTGGAGTGTTCATTGGTTGGACTCCTTTTCTGTGTATTGTCCTTTCCTACCTCTACATCATCACTACCATCTTGAGGATCCGCTCTGCGGAGGGGAGACGCAAAGCCTTTTCTACATGTGCTTCCCACCTGCTCATTGTCCTTCTCTATTATGGCAGCGCCATCTTCACATATGTACGGCCCATCTCATCTTACTCATTGGAGAAAGACAGACTGATCTCTGTATTGTACAGTGTTGTCACCCCTATGTTAAACCCCATAATCTACACTCTGAGGAATAAAGACATCAAAGAGGCTGCAAAGACTATTGGAAGAAAGTGGCAGCCACCGATCTGTGTTCAATAACCTTGTTAGATTAAGAACCAGCAGCTGTTCCTAGTCACACTCAACTTAAATTCTCAATGTTGGGAGTCAGTCTGAAGCACTGGCAGACCTTATGCAAGGTCTCTCTCTCTCTCTCTCTCTCTCTCTCTCTCCCTCTCTCTCTCTCTCTTTTGTCAGTCATGGGGCTTAAACTCTGGGCCTGGGTGCTGTACCTCAGCTCTTCAGCTCAAGGCTAGCGGCTCTGCTGCTTGAGCCACAGCGCCACTTCCAGTTTTCTGGTGGTTTAATAGAGATAAAAGTCTCATGGACTTTCCTGCCAGGGCTGGCCTTGAACCACGATCTTCAGATCTCTGCCTCCTGAGTAGGTAGGATTATAGGCGTGAGCCACTGGCACCTGACCCAAGGTGTATATCTTATTGAGGTTTTATTTTTCCTGTGTCAGATACATCAATGTTACTCTCTTTAGATGTTTTGTCCTTATTGATCCTGTTCCATTCATGAATGCTTCCTCTGGAGATGGTGCCTGTATTTATGTAATATTTGCTTAAATAATTTCATTACTTGGTACTTTATTTCCTGCATGTAAAAAATTATCTCCCTGGGTTTGTCATGTTTCTTTATTCTCACTACTGAGATCATTCTTTTGGACTTATTTATGTTCTTCTTAATAAAACATTATTATCAGTGAATTAAGTTCATATCAGTTTGATCGTTTGTAAAAGAAATATAATCATTTATTGGGCTTGATTATTCTATTTTCATATATATGTATGAAGTTTTTAAATCATATTCAACTCGAATTCACC